AGCATCTGTCCTAATTACTTAATTAGTTTATTCCTTTAAAATTTGCTCAAATAAACAGTGTGTTGTCCTTACAGGTAAAGTGTGTAACTGCAACTACAGTAGCATCACCAAATTAAACACACACACTACCGTTCAAGTTTGGAGTCACAAAGATATATTTATTTACTGTTTGTTTGTATGAGTACTAATATTTGTATCTAGAAAGAATGCATTAAATTGATCAGAATGTTGTTTTGAACATTCTATTCATCAAAGAATGTATTAGTTTCCACAAAAATATTAAGCAGCAAAACTATTTTCAACTGTTATAGTAGAAATGTTTCTTGAGCATCAAATCAGCATATGAGAAAAATGTCTGAAGGATCATGTGACACTGAAAACTGGAGTAATGACTGCTGAAAACCCAGTTTTTGCATAACAGGAATGAATTACATTTTAAAATATATTCAAATAGAAAACCGTTATTAAAATTTTAATAATATTTCACAATATTACTGCTTGTTCTGATTTATCCTGATGAATAATTTCACCATTTACTGTATGTTGCTTAGAGAAGTGAATGGCACGATGGATGGGACTATACCTGTTGTCTGAACATAGGAGGATGGGGGACTGTTGAAACCTTTTTTTTTTTATTTTGAAAATACATTATTTGTGTGATTCTGTATCACAGAGATACATCTCTGTGTGGCAAAGCATTTCCTGTATTTCTCCCTCTCGCAGTGGTCCTTCAATCAGGGTTGAGTTATGACCAGTCTGGCCCACACACAGCGATCTCTGCTTCCTCATTAGGCCTTCATTAACCCTCTCAAGCTGAGCTTCCACTCAGCTTACCAGTGGATGTGTTTGAACACCATTCTTCATTTCCCACAATCCCCCGCTGCTCAGCACAGTGTACGGGAACTGTGGTTCAGTGCCGGGCTTTCAGCACATTTACTGTAAAATGACATACAAGGCTCTGGGGACATACATTGACCTAATGTGCTGCACAGACACATTCATGAAGAGAAACTGCTTTTGGATGTGTCAAATGCATGTCATTATTTTGACAAATAATATCCCTTTTGCGATGCCTCAATAGCTTTAAAAATGAGACTCTCGAACAATGATGGATATAGCCGCTGCTATACCTTTATGCCCTTGTGTTCGCCTGAGGATATCTGTAATATAGATATAGAAATATCCTCAGCAGGTTTAAAAAAAAAGAGGTAATAATGTTTCAAAACTGTTTTTTGATCTCAGATCTCAAATTAAAAGTCATATCTGGTATGCTGGTCGCTGCCATATTAAGTTTGGGACTCTGGGAGGCTGATGTGATAAAAGTGATCATATGATCAGTGTTAGTCCCTCAGTAGCAGTTCACTGTTAGTGTGTGTGTGTGTGTGTGTGTGTGTGTGTGTGTGTGTCCATGACCACAGAAAATTGGAGCAGTGGTAAACTTGCATTAATTCACCTAGGACAGTTTTACATTAAATAATTAATGTTTAGGAGACTTAACTAAACAAGTGAGCAAACAGTCTCCTGTGAGTCTCATAACCAAATGAAAAAATACATTAATATGCTAATGAGCTAAATGGGACTATATTTCAGCAAAATTCCCACACCACAGTATTTTTGTAATTAAATGTATACATATTTAAATACAAACACACACACACAGTGTCTACAGAGAGTAATATAAAACATATGTTCATATCTTTAATATTATGCACACATACATAAAGTATATATTTATGTATAAAAACCATTACGCCTATGGGATTTCCCCACTTTTCACAAAAACAAACCTGTGTGTGTGTGTGTGTGTGTGTGTGTGTGTGTGTGTGTGTAAATCTAGGTTTAGTATTATAGACATATAATAATGTTTATATTGCTACCTGTATTATTAAACCTGTAAAATAATTCAGTACTATATATCAGTAAGTATATTATTGGTTATTAGTATTGTATATGTATATTGGGATCCAAGACTAATAGTTTGGATTGCACCCTCTCTTTTACTTCCTTTCTTCATCCCTCTGTTAATTTATCCTTTATTTTACCATTGGACATCTGTACTCTGGGGCCATTTAGATATAAATAGCACAAGGCGGAAACAGAAAGTTATCTCCATCTCTCCTCTATCTCTCCTAAAGTCTAGGTGCCCCACTCTCTGAACATAATGCCTGAAAAAGGTGCGAACGACCTCTACTATCAGGACCTCTCACCTTTCCATTCACTCTGTGCCTGAGGGATGAGTGAGAGAGAGACTCAGATGTAATGATCTAAATAAATGCAGAAGAGTTCCCAGCAGGAAATTCTTCTGCCATGCATTTGCTAACACAGTGGTTCTCAACTAGTGGGATGCAAAAATGGGTCACAGGTTTGTTCTGAAAAAAATAAATGCTAAATGCAGCTAATATTCATGTATAGTTATGGTGAATAAATAGGCCATTTGTCCAATCAAACAACATTATTTTGCTGCAAATTCATGTCATTTTGTAGATGCATGCAAAATTAGACAGATGCTTTCATGAACATGTTGCATGGCAATGCCTAGTCCTAAAAACCAAGAGAAAAATTCCAAGGTCAAAGAAAATATGAAACAGACTACATTAAAAGCACTTCATTTTTTTCATGTTAAGGTCATTTTTGTTTAATTTTTTTGGGTCAGGAAATCTGGATCCTGTAAGAAAACCAGTTGAGAACCATTGGCTTATTGACATTCTAGATTCTTCTTTGTTCTCAATGGGCGTTTAGGTTTTTGCAGAGATTCCTATGGTTGTGTTGTCCCCTTTTTGTGTCCTAGCCCTTGGTCTTTATAGCCATCTTAAAGATGTCTCTCATTCCAATTCCGAGTTGAAAGGATGAAGAGGCGAAAAAACTGCGCAGGACCATTTTTTCCCTCTATCTTTATGGCCACGGCACCCCCCGGAGACATTCTCCTGCACAAAAATAAAAATGTTACTAGTCTCAAGTCAAGTCTTAACATTTACTCCAAAGGGCAGGCCATAAACTATTAATAGACAGCTATCTATCTGCACAAGGCTGTGAGGGAGAATGATTTTATATTGAATCCTCATGTGGTTTGCCAGTAAGGGGTAGAAGAGTTGGTCCGGTCTCTCGCCATCCCACAGAGAGTCCTGCTTTATCTCCCTCTCCATCCACCGGCAGACGAGACGAGAGAGGCCATTACAAGGCTGTCTGGGAATATTGCAATATTCAGCAAGGCGATTATCTGACGTCTCCCTGGGAGGCACATTTCCTCCGTGGAGGGAGAGAGAGGCGTACCTGTGGCAGAGAGAGAGAGAGTGAGGCTGATAAGAACCCTTAGAGTTGACAGAGAGGAAGTATCACCTTTCTTGGTTTTAAAGGAGGTCTTTCAGGGCAGGAATTAATATTTATATAGGGTCTCAAAATCTAAAGGTGATCGCCAGCTGTAATGCTTCTGTTTTGCATTTTATTAACGTATAATATAGTTTCTTTGGTTTAAAAAATATTTGATCAGCGTAACTGTTTGAGTTGAAGTTGAATTGAAAGAGATGCATTTCTAAATTTCTTAGTATCATCTGAAGGTCTGTACAAAGGGGTTTGCAAATTTTGTTATGATTAGTGAAGAAAAATGCAGGATCTTCATTCCTTATTCATTCTACATTTCTTTATGTAAATATATTCACTAAACCTTTCTGTTTATTTTCAGGTTTAAGTGACATTTCCAATTCTAGAATTTCAGTGTGGCCTTTTAAACCCCACTGAAAATAATATGCAAATACGAAGGAAATGTTTGTTATTTAAACATTTGCTGGATCTTTGATTTTAGTAATACAGTGTATTCCCTACAGGTTGACGGCAGTCTTTCTTTGTGTTGTTTTCTACTCTTGTTCACGTGAGCTCTTTGTTTTGGGAACATGGGAAGAATCAAAAGAGGGTTTTGTGTTGAGATCCCTGCTGCACTAGTGTATCATAAAGATCTTAAGCAGGATGGCCGGTTTGGGTGGTCCGGAATGGAAAGAGATGGACTTGAATATGGGATCCGGTCTCCGCAGTGATAAGGGAGTGCTGGGAGGTTTTATGTTTTTTGTTTTAATTTTCCATTTCAATCTTGATGTTCTGCTCCTAAGTGACATTGCTTGCATTCTGGTGAGCTGTGGTTAGAGATGACTAGAAGTTTAAGCTTAAGTGGAGGAAGTGAAGAGTGGAGATGAATGATAATGTGTTCTCTTCTTTTGTATGTATTTAATACAAATTCAATACAAATGGGCTATAAAACCTTAAAGGAAATACTGTCAGTCCAGTATACAGTTGGTAAACTGTGCACAGTATGCGCATTTATGTCCCATAATGCAGTTCAATCATCTTGACCTTTTATTTCCAATGTGATTCTACCTGTTAAGACATTTTTATATAAATTAGGTTGTACAATGTACATGCAAAAATACCTTTTTTATTTTCAAAATGATAACTAGATGGCACTCACTATTTTAAACGTGGACAAATGTGGCAATAATGTAGCATGCGACTGTCCGAGAATTTTAGTATTGAATAATGCACTCTGTTTAAAGGCAGGGTAGGTGATTTGGTTCAAAAACATTTTTTGTTGTGCTGGTTGAAAGTCTCTTCACAAATACAAAGCAATCACTAAGTTAAGTGGTCTAAATGTATCGATATGTATTTATATCGTCTGTGGAAGGCGTAGGACCAAAACATTTTCCAATGTGTCCAATCATTGCTATTGTAATAAATGTGTTGGCTGTTTTGATGATGCCTCACTGTGTATATCGATAGTTTGCCAAAATTGTTTCACTAAATAAACTTTTGTACTGTTTTAGACATTTTTGGATTTTTTTACAAAGTAAGAAAAGTCTCTAAAAATGCCTCAGTGTCATAAATGAGTCCCCTGAGCTCTAGTTATGACAGGTTTGAGTACTAGTACTTTGTTGCCCATAGCCATGTGTTTACCCAGAGATGCATTGATCCAGGTTTCCATTATGCTAAATGCCTCTTTTCCACTCTTTCTGCAGATCGACTGTGTCATATTCTGCGTCTTTCTGGAGACAGATTATGAGATTTACAAGAGGAAGATGTCAGATTTCTTCTCCCCAGGTACTGTATCTTCTTATTGGAATCTAACTTCATTTTATTTGTTGGTTGTAACACCCACTCAGCTCAAAGCTTGTTACTCGGGTATCAGGCAGGATTCACAATGTCAGGCGTCTGACTGGCGTGACGCCTGGAAGAATTTGTATCATATTTTGTAGTCAAAGTGCACAAATACAGCACAGCAGGCAGTGATTGGATTCCACATAACCAAAACCTGTTTATGGTAATGTACCGCCCAGGCTGGATTATTTAAACTGAAAATGATTTCACCCCACCTTGATCATAGAATGCAATCAGGATAACCGCAGTCAGACTGTCTTCCAATTAAAGGGCTATTTCATTCAAAAATGTATGTTATGTCATCATGTGCTCATTTGCTGTCACCATTTATATGATGTTCCAAACTCGCACAATTTATTTTTCTGTACAATACAAAAGTAAAATGCTGAAGACTGTGGTCGCTTTTTTCCAATTGCTGGGTAACACATTACAATAAGGTTTCATTTCTTAACATTAGTTAACATGAACTAACAATAAAAAAAAAATACTAAAGCATTTATTAATATTAGTTAAAGGGTTACTCCACCCCAAAATGAAAATTTTGTTATTAATCACCACAACCCCCATGTCGTTCCAAATCCGTAAAAAGCTTCGTTCGTCTTCGGAACACAAATTACTGTTCTGTGTCAGCTGCGCAATGCGGATATGTTGTTTTCATTCAAATCAAAGCATAAATGACGTAAACAGCGTATCCACGTGGCGCAGCTGACACAGAACAGCATACACTGTTAGCATTCAATGGATATTCTCCAAAATGGCGCTAGGGTGACGTGGAGGAGACGAATTGTTGAATAAAGTCGTTATTTTTGTTTTCTGTGATCAATGACAAAATTTTCATTTTGGGGTGGAGTAACCCTTTAATGCTAATTTCTACATTTGCTATTAGATTTTTAAAGGGGTCATATGATGCGATTTCAATTTTTCCTTTCTCTTTGGAGTGTTACAAGCTCTTGGTGCATAAAGA